TAAGACACTCACTTCGCCACACTCTGGGGGGAAATGAGATGATACTCAGACTCAGAATTTTGCAATATCTGAACTATAATGTTTTGACCACGTAGAGATTGCCTTTGCTCTCACAATAATTCTGCTGTCTCATTTGGCTTTCTGGTGAAATGAAGCAAATTGGATATGAAATTGTTCTCGTGCATAGGACATAAAACGCTCAGCCGCGGTCATGAAAGTGTGAGCTGTTCGACTCCATCTGACATCTGATCATTTTCAAGGGCTATTTTTCGGCTCTTTATTCCAGTGCCGTCGCCTGTGCTCCCAGACCACAAACTACTACCCTTTGGTTTACACCCAGATTCCTTTATTCCCTTCACACCCAGGAAAGACAAAAAGAGGCTCCCTGGTTTTCAGAGGGGCTCTCCTTCCACGCACTGAATATAATGCGACTCCGTGAATCTTCATTTCCCTGTGTCCAGCCTCCTTTCCCAGGCCCCATCCTCTGGATGGGCAGCCCGGAAGGCTGCAAACAGATGTGCTCACACGTGGTTTGCATCTAGCTCGTGCAGCTCCCTTTTTAAACAGTAAGTGCCAATTTCCCAGGCACGGGGAAAACCCCAGAAATGACGGCAATATGCAATATTCCCCAAATGTTCGTTTATCCGCACACCAACAACAGTAAAAGATGTTTCTGTCCAGATGAAGAAAGCGCTTGATGAGCCTCGGAACGCGGTAGCAGCACACACACTGCGACCTGGGCGATCAAAACCGGAAGTCGGGCCCTGAGCTTATGAGACTGGTGGGGAGGGAAGAAAATGAAATCACCTCTGGGAAGAGCTTCTGCAGGCTGCCACTAGCTTTGGTTACGGAGAAGGCAATACGCAGTTTCGAAGATAAAAACACCCAGACTGGCCAGCTGATTAGAGTGAGGGCGTGGAGATAAGGTGGAGGAAGGCAAAGAGCTAAACCTCTGTACATGGAGAAAGTGATAGGAGCCTTAAAATTCTTAGAAAAACTATTTTTCAATAAACTGTAAAAAAAAAGTAATATAAATTATGAGAAGAAGGTTAGGTACTGCTTTGGTACATCTGTTAAAATGTTAAAAAGGAAAAAAGATTGTCAACAAGCCAGCTGCAATAATTGACACATTTGCAAAGAAACTCAAACTATATTCGAAGGTTCCGAGGCATAGTAAGCACTTTGCCATCTGTTGATGGCAAAGATAAAAACTTTAAACCCCACTACACAAAGGGAGATTTTCTTTCCCAAAAGGAAAAAGCAAATTCAGTTTCCTGTTTGTTTGCTTTTAATTTAAATAAGTACGAGAGTCACAGCAGCTCACTGGACTTGTAGTTCTTATACCAAATTCGGGCTTTGTTATTTAAACACACACATACAAACTGCATTTCCATGAGGAGCCACAAATGAAGGATAAAAATAAATGAGGTCAACTGTAATATACTTTATTAAATTATTTTTCAAATAAACTCAAATATAAATTTTGCCTCCGTGTGATGGAGTCTCGTTAAAACAACTCTCAAATGAGTTCTTTTAAGTGAATGTTTATACTGTTTTTCTGAGAGGCATATCATTCTCTGCTAACACACAGAACTAATGCCCCTTTTCTGTTCTCTGTTTCTAAGGAAGCTGGACACATGAAAAGGGTATTTATTTTCAAAATGGACATCTAGGTTTTATATACTTATTTTAAAAGGACAATATGTTATTTTGAAAAGATATTCAACTTTCATCATTTCCTTTGAACAAACTGTCACAAAACAAGAGAACCACCAGTTTAAGCAGGCATCCGGTTTCCTAACAAGTATCTAAATCAATAAAGAGAATTTCTAAATAAATAAATCAATAAAGAGAGTTTCACAAGAAATAAAGTATGCCCCCAGGTAAAACTACATTTTGGTAATAATGGACTGTAGTGATATAAAGTTTATCAGCTTGGTTAAAAAATATATATGTTGAGCATAACTATAATCTAGCATTTGAGGACCACGAACTCATCTGTGAATTCTTTATTGCTCTTGAAGGACAATATACAGAAAGTTCACTTACTTTGTGTATATATACTTGATATACTTAAGTCACTTTGCCACTTCAACTGAAACTGGCTTTCTCATTTGATAAGCATAAGAACAGGTGTAATAGATGTTCAGTAATAATTGATACTACTCACTGAGTGTCTTCTATAAACCAGACAGCACACTGGATTTTATAGACACATCACATCGTTGAATCCTCACCAACTGTGGGGGCAGAGCGGCCACCGAAACCCAGACCCGCCTGGCTCCGCTCTGCCATGCTTCCCACAGACCGCATTTCACAAAACCCTTGTGTTCCAGACGGAGACGGTCAGATTTCTTTTTTCTTTCATCAGACTTAACTTTTGATTATCCCTACAGAATCAGCTAAAAGAAACTTAGTTTAGGTAAAAATTGGTTGCAGATTTAAAAAAGGGAATATTGAATAAAGGCAGAATTTGACATAAAAAATTCAACAATGAGAGAGAAGAAATAAACCTGAGAGAGATGTCCTGGCTATATCTGATAAACTAAGAAAATGCTGCTGTGAATCCTCTACGAACAACTTATGCAAACTCTTTTATGCAAACGAAATACTAATCAGAGAGGGTAGCTTCTTAGAGCATCAGGTAATAAACTGTTTATATCTGCTGCTGTTCAAAAACTGTTTTCTCTAATAAAAGAATAGGCACTTACTGTGAAAATGAGTTCTAATTACTTATTATTATCCCTAGTATCTAGTACCTAAGAGGAAGGAAGGAAGGAAGGAAGGAAGGAGGGAGGGAGGGAGGGAGGGAGGGAGGGAGGGAGGGAGGGAAGGAAGGAAGGAAGGAAGGAAGGAAGGAAGGAAGGAAGGAAGGAAGGAAGGAAGGAAGGAAGAGCTGCTGAAGGAATCAAACACATTAAGAATAAACAAATACTCTGTAGCTACTTTTTCTGTACCTAATTTTTAACTTTGAAAAAATTACAGATTTACAGCAAGTTGCAAAAGGTGGAACGGAGAGACCCCAGGGCCCTCGGTGCAGTGTGTCCTAACGGTCACACCTGACATAACTGCAGTACAGAACCAGGTCCCGGACCCTGGTGCAGGCCACAGACCTCATTCGGATTTCCCCTCTGGCTGCTTGCTAATGGTGCGCGGTTTTTCTGGTCTAGAAAGGACCTTAGACTCTCTTCATCTTTCTGATGAAAAAGTGAGAAGAAAGGTCAAAGAAGCTGAAGGACTACCCAAAGTCAGAATGCTAAATAGTGGCAAAAAATAAAGCCAATTCTGGGTGAGAGGTCATCTTTCCTCAGAAGCGGCGTGCACTGGATTAGTCATCTATCAGAATTCCACAAGGACATCTGCAAAGACCTTCAGAATTATCTTATTTCAAAGTTACCTCATCAGATGGATGCGTATTATGTTCATATATTATTTTTCATCTCTGCAGACTTCGAAAAGCTTTCATCATTGAAAAATTGACCATTGTTCACTTGTTGAAAAACATTTAGCTCTACTCATCAGTAATATGATAAATCAAACTCAAAAAACCCCCGGACCAGGCCAGGCTGATCACCACTTAAAGCCACAGGCTACCTTGTCACATCTAACCCTGGTGCACGATGCGTCTGGCACAGAGCAGGCTCGTAACCATTGAATGAATGAATGAATGAATGAGCGAACAGACAGACAAGTGAATAAACAAGTAACTTAAGTGGGATGATCATATATACCAAACCACCTAATTTTTTTTTCTGAAGTGCTTTCAAGTAAAATAGATACACGTACAGAAAAACACAGGGTCCAGCAGAAGGCTTGCTCGGGTGTGGCCAGTAGGGCACACGAATGTCTCACACGAGAGGGACAGCACTTTGAGCATTTCATCTAAAGTGTCATGTGGTGTGCTTGAGTGTGATATTGTTATGTTACTAATTACATGCTTATGGTTTTGTAATAATGAAATTTGTAGTAAGAAAGGGGCGTTACTTGTGCTGGACCCTGTTTTTTATTTCGTAGGACAGTTTTCACAAAATCAGATCTGGAAGGGCCCTTAGAAAACATCTATTCTGGTCATTCTCAACCCTGGCTACACATGAGCATCGACTAGGACATTAAGAAATAGTATGTTGCCTACACCAGTGTGGCTGAGTTGGTTGGGAGTCATCCCACAAAGCAATGGGTCATGGGTTCAGTTCCCGGTCAGGGCACATGGCTGGGTCAGAGGCCTGGTCTCTGGTCGGGGCCACGTGAGAAGCTACTGATTGGGGTTCTCTCTCACCTGGACGCCTCTCCTCCTCTTTCTTCCTACCTTCCCTTCTCTCTAAAAAACTAAATAATATCTTTAAAAAAAATGTTTTTAAAGAAGAAATAATATATCAAGCCCCACCCTCACACAGCAAGGGGCCCGGGTATCTGTACGTTATCTTTAAAGCTCCCCATTTTAAGTTCCTTATTGTAAGGCTGACTTGAGATCTCTCGTTATAAAGACAAAACTGAGCCCCACTCAGACCCGAACGCCTTCCTCGAGATACGGCAGCGATAGAAACAGAACAGAGGCCGGAATCCAAGTGGGAACAGCACCAGTTTTTCTTAACATAATACACAGGAACTATTTCAAGAAAACAAAACATCACTTTTGATTTTGAAACCACTGGCCATTTTAAAAAAATATATGAAACTAGGCTAAAAAGCTGTCAACATCTGAACTCTCCCTCGGGGACAGTCACCGTAGCGAGTGGACAGACACACAGGTTTACGGCACTGCGCCTGAGATATAAAAAACAAGGCGCGTGGTCGGAGCCCTTCCACCTGCCTGCGCCCGCTCAGCGACTCGCCCTCTGGCAGCGCCCTTCTGTGGTCGGCTACCGAGTATTTAACAAAAAGTCAAACAAGCATAAAACTGACTGGACACCAAATAGGAATCCAAAACATGTGCCCCGTTGTTGGTCAGACAGTAGGAATTTTACACCACTGAAATCAAATAGTGACATTTAAAAAATTACCTTTAATCGAATCGTTTTCGGCTCTCATGATGTCGATGAGGGAACTCTCCAGGGAGTGCATGTCGAACGTCCTGGGGCGCTCCTGCAACACAAACAGCCGGAGACCACCTTTACAACAGCATTCAATCGCCACGGAGGGCACGGGGCCGCCCTGGACCCCACGCGGATCGCGAAGTGGCAGTTTCACTCACTGCCTGTGGAACGGGCGTTATTACTACATTTTATTTGGGACGCTTAAAAAACATCAAAACCACAAAAGTTAAGTACCCCTGGCTTAACAAAGAGTGATTTGATGTCTAATAACGATTCCAATAAAAGCATTACTTTCGCTAACAAGGCAAAAACAATTGAAACCAGGTGAGAACATTCAATATGAAAATAAAATTCGTAATCTTTCTCTGCCACTTAAGATCGCAATATGCGACCAAACTTGCCAAACAGGTTCCAGCAGTTACTGAAGAAAGTGGCATCTACACGTGCTATTTACAATCGCTCTGTTTTCTTACAAGCCAAGGTATGAAAACAGTTGTCAAACATCTGCAAGACCACTCAGAGGCAAAGAATTCTTGGTTTTGTTGCCACTGAGTTTAAAGGGCAGGAAGGGTGTGGAGAACACTGCTTGCTGGACTAAACCCTGGCTTAACAAAGTGCATTTCAGAAGTGGGTGAGGAATCCTAAAATACACAACGACCGAACTGCTCTGGCATTCTTCTGCATGGAGAGTACTGCAGATAACTAAAATTAAAGCTTAGCTTGGTAAGTGAAAAGTAGGAGATGAAAACATTTTCAAATTATATTCTGAACGGAGGCAGCAATACACACATCCGACCCACCTTACACACAGCATGCACACGCAAGGACCACAGCCAGAGTATTAAAGAAAAGGAATTTGGCCCTGGCCGGATAACTCAGTTGGTTAGAGCATCACCCCCCATATGCCAAGTTTGTGGGCTGGATCCCCGGTCAGGGAACATACAGGAATCGAACAATAAATGCATAAATAAGTGGAACAACAGATTGATGTTTCTCTCTCTCTCTCAAATCAATCTTTCTTAAAGGAATCTGACAAGCAGGATTTCATAACCTTCTCTTCAGTGATATTTTCTTTTTCCCTTCCATTATTTTCTAACTCACAGATCTCCAGATGCAATGTTTTGAGAAAGGTTTTTAGGCTGTGCATGAATTCAGAAGGAACCAGCCTCAGCAGATCGCTGATGCTAAGAACAAGTGATAAAGTCCAAAGGCACAAGCACCGCGTCCTTGCTGACCTTGACCTAATATGCACTTCTGCCCAGAATCCAACATCATGACCAATTATAATAATGATAAACTATACACTTAACATTTTATTGCTTATGATGCTTTGGTAATTCAAAGAGTGAAAAAGGCACATATTTTGTTAAACATTCTGTTCTCAGAGAGGTTCTAAAGTTTATCATTCTCGATTTACACACTCTCACTGATCTTTTCTGCTCATTTTTTACCTCTAATTTAAAAAAACTAAAATGTAAGTGTCTGTGCCATTGGGAAATGGGTGAAGGAGTAGACACTAATAAACCCCAGAAATGAGAGCAGCACAAAGCTGCTTTTTCTACCTAATGACAAAAAGGTCAAAAACCTAATTAGAATGTTTTGATTTCCATAAATCATTCTTCAGTTTCGTGTTTTCTGATTGCAAGTTGAGCCAAATATCATAACCACTGATCCGTTTTCTAGGATACTTCCCAGAAAGTACACAACTAAAAAGCAGGCTTGCTAAGTGATGGCTCTTCTTGACTGAACTCGATGACCAAGACATGACCATCAATATAAATCAATGGCATGATTTCAGACACCGGGAAGCCCCAGCTCCATTACTGGCATGGCACACAACCTGGGGCACTTTCATCCTCTATAAAATCTATTAAAAAAGGGCCTTGGGCACTTCTAGCCACGTTTTTCCTTCCTGATCTGAGAAAGGAGTCTGATTAGATCTCTGATGTCCCTTTCTCAGCTCCAAAATGCACTGGTAGCCTAGCTTTCTGGGATCTTTATTTCGTGTACTTCCAAGATTCACAGTTTAAATGATGACGATGATGATGATGAGAGCGGGAACCAAAAATGTGAATGAGAATTACTAATCAAAGTTTATCACTTCTGTCCAAAAAAAGGCAAGGGTCAATCAATGACAGATTAATGCAAAATAACAAGCTTTAAAAATCCACTTAAAACAATTCATTGAGCAGGATGTCTTGATTGCAGAAAATAAAAAGGTCAAAGGTTCTAATATGAAACAAAGACCACCAGCAACTGTATCGGCTTCAACCCACCACTGCCAGTTACTCTAGGCAGCCACAGCGAGAAAAGGGAAAAAAGCCAAACTACCATTTATTAAGCATCTACTCGGTCCCTACCTTGTTCTAGGTACTTTATTAACACTGCCTTAATTAATCCTCAAACCTCCATACAAGTATTATTCCCATTTTAACGATAAAAACTGAGACTAAGGAAAGCCACAGTTCGCTGCACAGGCAGGTCATCGCACAGTTTGGCAGCCTCGTCAGGATTCAAGTCCACGTCTCACTCCAGAGCAGACGATGCTTCTGCCGGTAAGGTCATGGCCATGGCAGCCCAAGGCCCACTCCAATTAAGGCATACGCTTGAGGAAATGAGACACTCTGCTGTAAGGGTCCTGGGGGCAGGAATGCTGGCTGGTGCCTGACACACAGTAGGCACTCAACTATTACTCACGAAACAAAATAACGAAATGTATGTATAAGAGTAATAAAGGGTGGTATCAGAGACGCTAAAAACATAGGAGAAAGGGAGGCCGTATCTTCCGTCTCCTGCTGAGATAACAGATGTGCTGCACAAATTCATCACCCATCACCTACGTGCGTCTGGGTCAGCGACTGCACCCACAGGTGTGGAAGGGGGCAGTGGTAACAGTATCTGTAATAATAACAACAGTAATAAAGCCAGCGGCTAACATCTATCTAGCTCTAATGCTTCGCATGTCTCTTATTTATTACTCACAAAAACCCTACACAGTTAGGTATGTTCAGTTATTATCCCATTTCACAGATGAAGAAACTGAAGCTTAGAGGGACTAATAACTTTGTTAATATCAGGTAAGTGGAGGAAGCAGAATCTGAAGGAGGAACCAGGCTTTATGATGCTAGAACATGTAGCTTAATGATCGTGAATGAAAATAAAAGAGCACCAATTATTTCCAAGGCTCAGCAGAGCAAACGTGGTTAACCATGCTTAGAACCCATTTCATTTTGTGATCTTAACTGTTATATTTTCATTATAACAATTTCGATTATAATCTTAATATAATACATCGAGTTGTGCAGCAGTAACTGATTGGTTTGTTTCTACCATTTCTACTTCACAGGACAATTCCTAAAGGAAAAATCGTTCGAGTCACTATAAAAATCAAAACTGATAAAAATAACTTTCTGAAAAACATTTGTATTTCAAAGGGCAGGACCTGTCCTTTTATGTACAGTCTGAGTAGTCCTGTCATGGCAAAGAGAAAGCTGCCTCGCTCGGCACGTGACCGATGACGGGACAGGATGTTCACAGCCTTCCAGACGGAGCCCTGAGAAGCACACGAACCACGTGGTCTACTACCACCAGAAAGGACAACTTGATTCAATTAGGCCACAGGTAAAAATCATCGTTTGTGATTCGGCGTGTTTGTTGTTATTCGTGTTCAGACAGATAATCGAGCCAAGTGTTTCTCATGCTTGAGAGAAAATCAGAATCATCTGGAGGTCTTGTCCTAACACGGATTACTGGGTCTACCCCCAAAGTTTCTCTTTCAGTGGCTCTGGGTAGGGTCCGAGAATTCACATTTCTAACAAGTTTTCAACTGAAGCTGAGGACGATCACATTTGGAAGCCCCCCGAGTTAAGCAGTTCCATTCAACAGGCTGACTTCATTAAGTACTCAGGGGTGTGATTTGTAGCTACTTACATCCTGGCTGGCCAGTCATGACACAGTCGAGCTTAAATATGCCACACAAACCATTTTAAGGTTTCCTTATGAACAAAGGACTTTGCTCTCAAAACCCAAACAAAGCCTTCTGATCCACACTGTAAGGTCGTAACTTGGGGAAAAACATTACAATCAAGTTCAATTTCAACACATCAACCACATGACCATGCTAGTACTGACTTTTGTCCTTTTATACTTGAGTTAATGTGTTTCAGCCTACTAGACTGGGTCTAAAACAAAATATAATTAAATGAATATAGCCACATCATTAAGAACCAAAGCCAAAATCCAGCTCCTCCCTCTACTTATTCTGTTCCTGTAAAGACCAACATTACTGTGATCGGCACTTCTCAGATCACTACGTGTCTGTACCAGCCTATGGAAGTTTCCCTTTCTGGCTTAAATTTTGCCCAGTGAACAAAGGAAAGGAAAATACTTTGTTTTGAAGGTGAAGTCTATGCCAGTGTGCCAAAGAGGTGCCTAAATAAATAGGAAGTTTGAGATGCCAGCAGACCTGTAATTCATCAAAGGTCACTAACTATAAGCGTTTTTATCCAAGATTTTCCAAAATGTAAATATTCTTCTTGGATTGAATATTTAAGCCCGTAGACGTTAAAGGCTGACCACATGGTAGACTTTCAAGATGCCACTCCCAGGTGACCCTCACATTCTTGCATGGGCACAAGTCCCTTTCCCCCCGCATGTCCCCCTAGCATGCTGACATCCTACGTGATATTGACAAGCTCCTTTTTGGCTATCTCCCCATTGGACCCTGACCTCCACTCATCCCAGCAGTCACGGATTGTAGCATACAAACAGCATACAGTCAGTCCATGATCACCATCACCACCGATACACAGCAGCTAACACGTTCCTTCTGACCTGGTGTCGTGCATCTCACGTGAGTTATATATCATTTACATAAATTAGCTCCTCACAAGCATCAGGTGAGGTGGGTACTATAACCATCCCCATTTTAGGCAAGCGAAGCTGAGAGAAGTTAACTAATTGCCATCGAAGTCACGCAATAAGCGGTAGAGTCTGACTTCAGGGCAGAAGCTCAGAGAAGTGGTCCATTTGGATGAGTCTTGTCTAACC